GAAACCCGTTATTTGCTCGAACACCAACAAACATGGAATTTTAAAAAAATACCATGAATGGAATTCCAGCATTTATTTCAGAGAATTTATTTTTAAGAACAGAAAAATTTTTTAAACAAGTAGCACGACATTTTGGTTAATGATTATTTTGTTGAAGCGCTGAGCGAAAAAAGCTTGAAAAATTATTTACATGTCATTTTATTTCAGCAAATCAAAACTTTTCAATAAAATAAATAAATGAAATATTAGAAAAAATCAAAAACAAAGAACCATGATTAATAATTACTGAAAACAGAAGCTGAGTCGGAAATTTTTGTTACCCGCTTTGTTTGAAAATTTTCTTGGACCGTCGGTTTATTGTTATTAATGATGGAAACGGCGAGATACGTTCCATTTAAATTAAAAAAAAAGAATTCTGATACAATAAAAGATTTGAAATATGGAAAATATCAAGAGTAAATTTAATACAAAAAAGAAAACTAGGATTTGTTATTTCATACAAAAAAATTTTCCATAATTTTTTTTGGTCGTATATCCATTTATACGTGCTCATTTTTGTTGTTTAGTTTGTCGGTTCATTTGTTGTTTTGTACGTTTATTTGCTCTCTTGCAAATTAATTTTATGCCTCTACTAACTCATAGTTTGTTCAGGTGCATGTTTGTCCGTGTTGCCGTTGGTTCGTTCGTTAGTTCATTGAATCATTCGTTCGCGCAAATCTTCGTTGGTTAATTTGTCCAAATATTCATTCACATTTCTTCTAATGTTTTTAGTTTAATGCACGTGTTTACACCTATTCACTTGATTTTTGTTACTTGAGAGATTAGATTAACTGGTATCATCGTCGTAGCTCAAACAAAATAATATCTTATTGCGTTTTAAATGTTAAAACTTAAGATAAAGATAAGTCAAATAGAATTGTGTTTCAGCAAACTAATCAACATTTGCATATTTAACAATGCAATTGATTTTTGGAACGTTCAAAAAAAATATTTCGTCACATTTTAATACCGCTGTCCCTTGTGTTCAAATAATTAGAAAAATTGGACTGCATCAAACGCCATGAGCTTCTGGTGATTTGCACATATTTATTACAAGTTTCAATTGTTTCAATCTATTTATAACTTGAAAATTAGCTTATTACTAAGAATTTTGAATGTTTTTTGGTTAATATTTGGTTATTAAATACCACAAATTGTTTTCAAAGATTTTCAACGTTTTTAATAAGCAACAGTCTAGAGAGTGCTACTTTTGTTTGCAACCATCTTACCAGCCTGAAATCAATACCAGTGTCTGTGTTGAGATTACGTACCATTAGTTGGAAGTTGAAATTGAATGAATCCCATTAGTTGTCTTCCAGTTTAAAGCATTAAGAATGCATCGCAGAGGTATTGGTGATGACATGAGTGTGTAATTTAGAAGAAGCTAGTTCTGTCTTGAAATCTACGCTGAGGAAAAATAACAGAAGTTACAAATGGACCTAAGATTATTAAAAGTGGAAGTTGAATTTAGACTTATTTAGTCATTAAGCATACATTTTTGAACAAATCCTCTAACACAAATAAATTAAATGTCATTCTTATTGGGAACCTTTTAAAAATATGGACGAAATGAACTTGAAAAAATCATAAACGATCAAACAGAAGAAAGTACTGGTTACTAGAACCCTCAGAAACAAACAGAATAAAAAATCGGGTCTTTCAAGAAGAGTCATTAAACCTGAGTGACAATTGTTTTATGAACTTCGTCGAGAGTCAATTTCCTGTAAGTGTCGGACATGTTTAAGTTAAATATAACATGTCCCAATTTCAGTCCCATTTTTTAAGTTGAAGGCTGAGAGAGCGCAACTTGATTTTGAACTAACGTCAGATGTTTTTAGGTCTGATCGAATGTTTTCTACTCGTACGCATTGACTGCTAGCTCATATTTGAATAAAAATTGTAGCCATGTGTTGGACAATTTGGTATATATGTATTTGTGTGATCTCAAACCATTTCCTTTCTGTGTGTTTCTGTAAGTGTATCTGTGTCTATATGTGCGTGTGTCTGTGTGTGTATGCGTGAGTTTGTGGCGTGTGTTTGTGTGTGTTTGGGTTATTGTGTATGTGTATATTTCCCAACCGTTTCAATATTCGTGTCACCAATTGTTCACGTGCGGAGTTTGGTGTTTGTCGTTAAAGAATTGAAATGTAAGCAAGCGATCAATAGAAAATGAATGAGATGAGGCAGGCTGGCCATTTATTACACTCGATAACTTTTTTCCTTCTTTTTTCTCTTTTTTTTCTCGTTCTAATCCAAGAGGTAGGCAATCAACCTCCCAGTTGCAACAACAAAAGCCCGGATAACCCTTTTTCTCTGCAGCACTCACTTGACGCATGGTGTTAATCAATTCTGATGTTATTTCCACACCGCTAAAACGACGCTCGAGAAATGTAATTAATTTTTTTACTTTTTAAAAATGATTCTGTTTACTAGTGGGCTAATTAAAACAAGTGTTATAATTTTAATTTTTGTGTTCGTGAGAAAATATTTCTTTCACACTAGCGCAGAATGCGTTGAAAATATATGTCTGTCAATTCGTTCTACACAGACACACGATTACAAACAAACAATCCCAACCACATACATACATCAGAATTGTTGCTACAGAGACATATACTCAGCTACAGTAGCCACAAAAATGACACTACCACAAATAGAAATACGACACTAGCCAAAACAACGTCACAAAAACCACAAAAACAACATCGACAATAAAATTATGAAACGATCAGCTTTCAATTGGCAAAATTTTCATTCATCATTCTAGGTGGGTGTTTGTTGTTGTCACTATTGTCCTCTTTGTTATTGTCATCATATTGTGAACCTATTACAGCATCACACGAAGTTTATGTGGACAGTTATTCTATCTTAAGTTACACGATAATGTATATAAATACTAAAAACAGAGAGTTGTGAATTCTGTAAAAAGATAATGGAATTGTCTCATCATAATCATTGAAGAAGACATCAAGAGAAACATCACCGACACAAACATCACTTCAAAAAAAAACTTTGCCCAAACAAAAAAAAAACTCAACAAAAACTTGAAAAAACTGAAAAAAATGTTTATTGGTGTGCACTATTAAATTTTTTATGCTCTGACGCTAATGTCTTCTGCTCAACTGAACAGATCCGGCCATGATATATGCTATCAAGATTGCTGGCAATAATAAAATACCTCTTAATGACTGCCCGCCCGACATCCATGCCTCCGTGCAACCACCCACCCGGCTAATTCTCATGTTACACGTGCCCATATCCTAATATTTCATATTTTATCTACCTATAAATATAAAAACATCACAATAATTTATATTATATATATATATATAAAGAGAGAGAAAAAATGAGAAAAAGAAAGAGAGAGAGAGAGAAAGAGAGAGGGGGGGGGAAGGACAGAGAGCGGAAGAGAATTAGTGACAAATTTTCAAACGTACCACCGATTTCATTTTTTTTGCAGTTTCCGTATCTGACTGACAGTTGGAAAAAATGTTTTTTTTTGTTAAAATGCACGCATTCAAGTGAATAAAAACTTCAATTACAGCCACAATTTCAATGGCTTCATGCTAAATAAGATTGATGTATTTAAATACACGTTTGCATGTGAATAATTCGTAACGCAATATTCGCGAATCAACAAGCTTCCGTGCAAATTAATTTGCACAGGCGTATAACTTTATATACACCTTCACACACACGCATACACATACTAACACACATATACTTCCAAACACAATCACGTACACACACAATCACACACAAATGCAAACACACACGCACACGCATATCAACTTATATTCATCTTTACACACACACACACACTCAACTTATATTCATCTTTATACACACATACACACAGACACTTATACACACATACACACAGACACACACGCACACACACACACTAGCACAATCACGAACATACTGAACCAAACTCACACACGCACACAAACAGGAACGCACACACACACACACACACACACATGCAAAGACGAACGCACACGTAGCATAAAGTTAATTATTATAGCTTTTTAGAACAGCTTGTGACTTCATCATAGAGGGTAGGAGGCCCGTCACGCACAATAAATATCATCAGTCTTCCATTCATCACTTTTAAACTTTTTTGTCTTTCATTACCTTTTCTCATTCATTCATTTAATAAAAATAATAATATTATTAATAATAATTATGATAATAATTATAATAATAATTATAATAATGATAAAAAAAAAACAATAATAAGTAGTATTATTCTAATGATGATATCACCAAGTATAGAAACAATAAAAGTAATACAGTAGTAGTAGTAGTAATAACAGTAGTAATGATAGAAGCAGCAGCAGTAGCAGCCGTAGCTGCAGTGGCAATAGTAGCAGTAGTAGAAGCAAGAGCAGTAATAGCAGAAGAAATTGGTATAGCAATAATAAAAAATGTTAGTAGTAGCAGCAGCAGCAGCAGCAGCAGCAGTAGCAGCAGTAGTAGTAGTAGTAGTAGTAGTAGTAGTAGCAGTAGTAGTAGTAGCAGTAGTAGTAGTAGTAGTTGTTGTTGTTTATTGTTGTAATAATAGTAATAATAATAATAATAATGTTATTTATGAAGCGCTTCATGCGTGGCTTTGGGGAGCAAGTTTTATTGGTTTTTAATTAATTCTATTAATATTCATAATAACAAAACAACAATAATAATAATAAATAATAATAATAATAATAAAAATAATAAATTATCATTGCTACATCGTTATCATCAGCAACAACAAACAAAAAAATCATCATAATCACATCATTATCTCATTTCATTATCATCATCATCATCATAATCATGTATCCATCATCATCATCATAATCATGTATCCATCATCATCATCATCGTCATCATCATCATCATCGTCATCATCATCATCGTCATCACTCGAAACGAAACTCAACCGTCATCGTTACCATTATTCCCACCATACAGACGACATGAGCCAACTGATGAGTGATTTCGTGGGTGAAATGTTTGGTGGAGAGCCGGGCGGGATGGGTAGGACCCTGCTGGATGTCCTGAGGCACCACTACATGTCACCACCTGGGGTTTTCCTTAAGGAGGAAGAAGAAGATGAGGATGACGACCATGAAGATGCTGATGATGATGGTGATGACGATGGTGATGAAGATGATGATAAAAGTAACCATGAAAATGATGAGAGAAATTGTGGCGATGATGGTGGTGGTGGTGGCGATGATAGTGATGTTGATGAAAGACCCAGATGCAATCATAATCATAACCCGGCCCACAAGAGTTACGATAAATCATCTGAATCCTCATCGCCAACATATCCATCATATTTTATGGAATCATCACCATCACCATCATCACCATCATCACCATCATCAACATTAACATTATCAGCACCATCATCATCAACATCATCATCATCATCATCATCACCGTCTGCTCGCGTGTCACGTGTTCGTGTAATAGAGCGGAGGATAAGAAAGATGTCAGGTGACTTTTTAACTGATGCTCTGTTTGCAGCACCCATGTTTGATTGGCTGAAGGAATTTAAATCTGGTCACGTGCGGGGTCACGTGTTTGCTTACGTCACTCACGGGCTAGACTCGTATGGGTGGGTTTTTGAAATTTTGAAAGTTGCTGAAAGAAATGCACGTGTGTTGTCGGTATGTGTGTGTGTGTGTGTGTGTGTGTGTGTGTGTGTGTGTGTGTGTGTGTGTGTGTGTGTGTGTGTGTGTGTGTGTGAGGTGAGGTGAGGTGAGTGAATGTTTGTTTAAACATTCATCCGGCTGAGATTGAATTTCAAGTCATATAGTTCTCGAATATGTGTTGTCATTTATGATCAAACTTAAATATTTCATCAAATTTAAACAAAGATGTTTCTTCAACAAATAAAGTTGTCATGTTAAATAAAAATTATTTTGAAACTAAAAAAAATTAAGGAGTAAAATTGTTAAATACGACCCTAAATTTTTTTTCATGATTCTAAATAGATCATTTCGACAGCAACAACATTAAAACAGGAACAAATAATTTTAGTATGAACACCTACTTAAGTACGAACATTGAACAGCGTTTGTAAGAGCAACAACATCAACTTCTTTTATAACTTGATTTTCCTGGCACAAACTACATTAACACTCATAACAGCAACTACCTAACAACTACCATAACAACGAGTGCATTAATTACACCAACATTACAGTAACACAACAACACAGAAAGCTTCCACATCTATCATTTACTACAAACAAAAAACGCATTTATTACAAGTAGGAAAAACAACATTAGCAACAGCTATAAAAAGAACATTAAAAGAGAAATATAGAAAAAGGTGTTTCTAGATATAATAAACGAATTTTGGAAAAAAAAATAAAGAAATACTGTAAAAAATGTTAAGACCAGAAGTTGAACACAGCAACAACAACACACAAAAAAAAACAAATATAGCCGGGCAGAAAAGAACAGTTTTAGTAACATTAGGATGATGTTTACATTGCAGTTACGATGATGTAGCCCTGATCTTTGGAGATGCCCTGTCAGAAGGATGCTGTTCCCCCCTCCAAACAAACAACTTCATAAAGAATGGACGCTACCACGAACCTTTACAAAGCAACCACATCAACTACAACATCAACATCAAAGACATCAACTTTATCAGCAATAACATCAATGCTAACATCAACAACGCCACCGACAACTACATCAATTACAACGTCAACAACAGCAACAACAGCATCAATAACAATCTTCAAACTTTTTCAAGAGACTTGATATCATGGTGGATGAACTTCGTGAAGTATGGGTGAGTGGATGATTTTTTTTTCTTCAACTTTTTCAATCATGTTACGTCTTTAGAAGTAATTACTGCAATTTTATTTCTAACTCTGTGCGTGTGTGCGTGCGTGTGCGTGTGTGTGTGTGTGCGTGTGTGTGGGTGAGAGTGTGTGCCTGTGTGTGTGTATTTATTCTGTGTGTGTAATTATTTGTTATTTGTTAAATTTCTTTTTATTGAGAAACTGCGGTTGCGAGGGTGTAACGATTACATAACATGGTTAGATAGTTCAAGAATTTGTCTCTTTAAATTTAAAAATTTTAAACTAAATTTTGTGTATGAATGAAATTTGTCCAAAATAACTGACTCCTATACAAACCAACATAGTACAATTTTGTTAACTATAATTATAATTTATAGTTAATAACAAATTATAAATAATTAAAATAGCTATAAATTATAAACTAACGAACGCCAGAAAACTAATACAAAACTCGAATTTAACACAGAAACCCTACAGAGCCAGCAGCATCACAACACTCCCCAACATCTTCCTCCTCCCTATATCACCCCCAACAAAACCTTCACCAACACCCACCCCTGCTTTGGCTACACTACCTTCCACAAGCCCCAGCTCTTCTGAGTATTTGTAATTCAAAGTTTCTTCTGTCTATTTATTTATTCATTTTTTTTAAATAAATTTAAATGAATATTAAATGATAAAATAACTTAATCAAACATTAGCAATAACTTTATTTTTTTGTTATTTAATTTTCTAGGGTAGTTTTAAAAATTGTGAACTACTTAGGTAAGGATGATAAATTATTAATAAAACAATATGTATAATGTAAACCATAAACTCAACAATGCGGAAATACAATATGTATAAATTCAGAGTAGCAACCAAGTTTAATGAGCTATTCAATTTTCAAAAATAAACAAACATGAATAAAATTGTATTAAATAATAATGTATATCTAGGTAGGCCTATTCGTGTCAGAATGAAAGATCCTTAGAAGAGTTTTAATACCATACAATTTTTTGTTAATTTATTTTTCAAAAACTAACAGCTCCAGGTGGTGCGAAACTTATTGACAATTACAGGCCTGATAAGATGTCTCTATGGTTGGACCTCATGCCCCGTCTCTTGCGGGTCTCCTCCATGCATGCTTACGACCCCAAGAGTTCGTTCGCCCATAAAATAATAGGCCTCTCTAATCATAACAACCGTTAGTTGAGAATAATCAACAATTTTTTAAATAGTTTTATATCGCAAAGTTCATAAACTTCTAAAATGCATAACATCAACACTTTCACGTTGAACAGACAGGGGCAAAACCTCGAGCAAGCCAACGAAGTATCGCACCAACTCAACCAACAAAACTAAACTGGCCGATCTGAAACTTCTACAAAAGAATTCAAGGTCAGCATTGACCAAATCTTTTTCAACGAAACCTCTGAATGGTTTCAACAACTCCAGTTCTACCAACATTCTCGGCGTTCAAAACATGAGCACAAGCAACATCACAATACCCCAGCACATGTACACATCCATCACTCCTCACTCCTTTTTCACGTTCTACTTGACACTAGTCATTGGACTATCTCTACTGTGCCTTAACCTCGTGGCCTTCCTCGTTTTCTGCATTTTCAAGAGTTACATCTCTGCCAAAAGAAGCAGCAGCAACAAGAACATCTGCCTGGCCAAGTCGGACCCGCGCTTCCAAGAGGAGTTAGGGGGGTCCGAACATAAATGTCATAACAGCAGCGATAGTAACTTTTCTAACAGGTACACGAAAACTTATTGTAAAACAAGTGAAATTAGTAAGGAGATTAAAGTTAACAATGAAAAATTGAAAAAGCAAAAAGCAAAAGAATCTTTTGCGTCTCTAAACAACGCTAACGACTTAACTTTCAACAATGTCGTCGAGTTGCTAGATAACGACAAGTCATCAGCCAACAGTCTTACAACACTTCAGCTAGCAAATTCCATCTTACCATCCCACAATAACAGCAACAATAACAACAACAGCAACAGCAATACCAATTTTCCTCGTTCATTGCATCAACGTCAGCGCAGCCAGCGGGAAGATTGGACAAACGACCATCACCCAGCAAACCTTCACAAAAACAAACCAAGAGAATTCAGCGTTCGTTTTTTAGAAGCAACTAGCAGCCCGAACGATCATGGTCACGAAGGTTTTTGCAGTAAGGAGAATAGAAGAGATGGAAGGAAAGTGAACCAGGATGGGTTACTGACAATTCCTTCTTTCGCCACTTTCAACCAATCCACCGTGTGACAATTCCATTTTGATGAAACATATTTGAATAATTTTTTTTATAAAATAGCCATTATCTTAGTGACGTTTGTTAGTTTTTGGATTTTGTCACCATCTTCATCTTCTTAACTGTCATCATCATATAATTGCTCTTATTTTCGTCATATTTGAATGAAATTATAATTTATTAAAATATTTACATGAGTTGAGTTTGTAAATATCCAACCATCTGCCATACCAAATATCTACCCAACTAACTACAATGAAAACAATACGCGCTAACAAAAAATTTGCTCAAGTTAAAAAAATGTATAAACCTGGTTCAATAGAGTACAACCGTACAGATACTCAAACATACTTGGATAGATAAACCAGTGAATAAAATTATAAAGAAAAGTGAGGAGAGTGAAAACTGCACTCTGGGGAACGTGGAATAATTTCCAGATGAAAATCTTCCACCCTGAATTCCCTCGTTATATTAGTTACCTTATCTAGTTGTGCATAACACGATCTTCAACTAGAAGTTTTTTGCGATTATTTATTTATTTAATATGACTTTGAATTAGTGAATAATATGTTTCTGAACTTTTAATTTTTACAAAAACCAAAATAATGAGGCTGACTTTTAAAACATTTTTGTTTTAATATAAAATTAAACATTCAAATAAATGTTCTATGAACACTGGATCATTTCCATTCCAAATATTTGTAACATTTTGAGTCGAGTTATAGTCTTATTTGTCAAAAAAAGGCTCAAATAATTCCGCAAAAATGTTGTATTTTTTAATTTTCCCAGCAAATGCACGTGAATTTCAATAGAGTATGATCGATAAAAAGGTTTGTTTTGAAACACCAACGGTAAGCATACAGTTATGTATATCAACAAAATTAAAATGTTAGGATGTTACATTTTTCCTGTGCTTACTTACGGCTCTGAGTCCTAAAGAAATAAAAAAAAGATTAGCGCTGGGGAGGAATTATTAAAATTAGTTGGACCTCCCGTACTTAAATGAGGATGTATTAAAACAACCCGGTTATGAAGAGAAGAAATTACAACAGATAATTCGACGGGGGCAGTTAGAGTTTTTTGGTCACATCATGCGGAAGGAAAGAATGGAAATATGTAATATTATGTAGATATTATATGATACAACCTGCTAATAACACTGCAACTGTAGATTCGCATTATATATTTACAAGGCTGCTTATGTTCACTTAACTTTTGCCTAGATTAAAATAGACTATTTTTATAAATTTTTAGCACAAACCTTCAACGTAATAGAATTTGTGGAATGCAAAAAAAATTTGAAACTTGAATGACGAAAATTCGAATGTTTTGTTCACAAATTTTGTATGAAAATTTATGGCGTGTCAATTCAAAGTAACATAAAAATTGTTAACATGCTTGAAGTTAAAAATACATGAAAATGGGCTGAAGTTAAACTTTAAAAACTCACAAAAAGTCAAATGATAACAAAATTTCTATTTCTGGATTTGAAAGAATTTTCCGATGTTCTTAAATTTCGTTTTCCGTTCATCTTCACCATCGGTTTCATCAAACTCAGCAAAAAGAGCAACTTCATCGTCTTGAGGTCCAGCAACCTTTCCCTTATTACCATCATCAATTGCCTGACCCCGAGACATTTTAAACAGTTTTAGTCGATCATCCTTTTCCATTAGTGCTTTTTCAGTTGGATGAATTTTTTCTAATTTTATAAAGCTTTTGCTTGAAATCAAATCCGACGCATCCCCTTCTTGTTTGTAGCCATAATGTAGCAGCTCGTTGTACGGGACAGGTTTGTGTAGTTTGTAACGACAGGAAGGTGAATTGGAATGGCAAGATAATTTGTATTCATTTTTTGGAGATTTTTTGTCCTTTTTTTTCTTTGCAGGTTCTAAATTTTTTGAGCCATCATTTTTCCAAAAGTTTGAAAATTTGTTTGAAATTTTTTTGTTGAAGTATTCTTTGAAACTTAAACTTCTGCTCGTTTTTTCAGGTTGTATTTCCAGCATATCCAACTTTTTCACATTCAGTTTTTCAAATTTAAATTTTCCTTCTTGTAGCTCAAGGATTTCTTTTTGATAAATTTTGTGATCGAATTGAATATTAGAACGATTGGACGATGATTTCTCCGACTGTGAGATTTGCTCTGAAAATCTCTTTGGTTCACTTTTAAATGTAACCGCCTGATGGTTTATGGGTTCTTTCTTTCTACTGGGACCCAGAGAAAGTATAGAATTTTTTTCTACTGCAAACAAAAAGAAAATTTTTGTAACCATTTTTCTTATCATTATTACATGATATGAATTAAATTAATTTGTTTATAAAATTAAAAAATTAATATCGTTAAAAATATGATATCTAACTAATTTTGTTGGGAACTGCATCTCTCACATTGAAACCACGTTCAGCATGAACGTTATTTTCAGTTCCAACATATTTTTCGGCCATTTTCATGGATACTCTTTAATTGAATTGCGATAATCAGTGATACGATTTTAGTAAAATATATTATCACTTAATTCAGTGTTTAGTTAATTTTCAGTTCGTACTCCAATATATATACACCTGTAAATATTTTGCGAATCTGTATAAGAAAATTACTGTGTCACTAATTAATGATAGTAAACTAAAAAATGTACCAAAGATTATTACTTTATTTAATTCGTCCTTTGGTAACAAAGAGGCGTTCATCGTAAAACGTTTGTCAGATAAACACTTATTTACAAAGGGTTAATTGAAGTCTCGTGCTTTATTAGTACTAGTCCTTAGTTAAAAACAATAGCCATAAAAACTATCATTTGATCCCCGACTCGCTAATTAATATATTAGTTAAGTTAAGTAAATAAAGTTTGGCCATTTGATTTCTTGAGCTGGTTCTTCGATAACGATCGAATTTTCATTAAAATAAAGTTCAGGGTCGTAATCTTGAAAATTTTATCACCTTTGACATCTGAACTTCATTAAAGTGTTGTCCACATTTGTCCACATTATTCATATTTTTGTAACACAAAGTCAGTGATTGCGTTTCGTTTTATAAATTGTAAATGGGAATTACTTTTGGACTATTTATCCTTAAAATATTCTGTATAAAACTGCAGTTTTTTTGTTACAAAATTTTATTAAAATCATGCTTATAATAAAGTACACTATTTCAAAAAATTTGTCTATCCATTAATTTGCCAGTTAATCAAGTAATCAATCAATCAGCCAATAAAAAATCAGTCACACTTAATTTATTCATTATTAATTAAATTAATTAGTTAATTACTAAGTAATTGATTCACGACTTAATCATTCAGTTAATCAACCACCCTATAAATTAATTAATTAAACCCAAAGCATCACCTAAACAATTCGATTGGTTGATCAATTAACTTGATGTCTTAACAAGTAAGACCGTGTAAGATATTTGTCAATAAATGATTCAATAATAAAACATGTAATGGAGTTTATAAAATCCCAAATTGAAGGAAAAATTGTGATGACTTTCAGATTTTGACAACAAATACAAATTGTTAGCAATCGTTGTCTGAAATAAATTCACAAACACGCATTATTGCGATTGATGGCCATAAAATTTTTTCAAATTATTGATGTATCTAGTGCAGGGGTGGGCGAATTACGGTAAAAACTAAGCTATTTTATGCGACCGGCAAGGCCATGTTTACCAAAAAAGGTTGTCAGCCAGATATTATAAACAAAAAAAGGAACCACAAATCTTAAAAATCTCTCCGCCGGGTCGAGATAATTCAAAGGTCAAATAGTTCTCAATGCGGCCTTCACACAGCAAAGTTTGCCAAGTAATTCAAGTAACTACATAAATCACATTTTATGACTTCTCTTTATCCGCTCTAAACCTGACATGTAAACTTCGTTACGCGGGACGTATTTATAATCAAAAGATTACAAACACTGCAAAGATAACAATAGTTAAATAATACGCAATTCAAATATTCCCGCGGTTATAACAATACATCTGTGGCTTGAAACTTTAGGTTTCGATTAGAGAGATTATTATTTACTAAATTCTTCTAATGAAACTAAAAAATATTTCAATTTAATTTTTTTTAATTTTTGATGATTTGTCCATTATTAATAAATAAGTGTTTTTTGTTCATTGAAAAACTAATAGACTGTCAAAAAATGAATTTGTTGATTTTATTTTTAACGTTACACCAGTTAATTATAAATAAATAAGCTTGTGTGTGTGTGGCGTGTGTTTTAATTATGCGAAGTTATTTTAAATTTCTTACAAAAAATGTCATAACTAACAGACCTTCTACCTACTGAGCTAACTCAGTGGTCAATAGTTTCTAAAAAAAAGTGAAGTTTTTATCTCATTTTTCCATTAGGTATACCATGGATACGCGGTGTGTGTATGCGTGTGTGTGTGTGTGTGCAATGTGTACACTTTATCAAAATACGCGGTGTGTGTATGCGTGCTGTGTGTGTGAATGTGTGTGTGTGACGTGTGTATTGTGCGGATGTGTGTGTGTGCGTGCGGCAATGTGTACACACTTTATCATAATTTCTTAATTTTGAAATTTTTTTGTTTGTCAGAATGCGGTTCACTCTTTCGAAAGCATCCAAAGCCTTCATTATGTTAGGCATGGAATTTTCAACGCAAACAAATGCAAATTCATTCAACAATTTTTTGTTTAAAACATTCATATTTCCACAATTTTCACCAAAAATGTCATAGCAAACAGACCTTCTACTGACTGACTAATAATTTTTCAAAAAATTCAAGTTTTTACATCACGTTTCCATTAGGCAATTATCACCTTTTAAATATAATACATGTTCAGTGCAAACATTATGAGCTGCATTACAAAAACTGAAATGAAAAAAAATTATATTAATTATTAACATTTCCCTTTCAACAGGTTTTCAAAGACGTCAACTTCCACCGGACACACTGTGTTTGAGTGAATGTGCGTGTCTCCATGCCAAGCATTACTGAAAGAACTTTCTAATCAAAACATTCTACAAGCACGCACCAATACAACCGCGCATGAAGACACAACATAATGCAACGACTTCCTAAATAAAACACACCAATCGAAACTCTTTCGAAATTTTATTTTTTTATCTTCATTATGATATTGATGAACATTTTAACAAATAGTATTTATTTATAAATATATACACGTTTGTATATTAGTTTGTATAAATATGTAAATTTATAAATATATATGAGTGTGTTTTGAATGAAATGCTAAACACAAATCATTTCAAAAATTATAACGAAAACCATTTCACGGTTGTGTAACTTTTGATTTTGCCTTTGATTTCAAAATCATTTTAATAATATGAATTTGTTTTAAAATAAAAAAAAAGATTTTTTCCAACTTCATTTCATTGAATCAATTTAATGAATAATATATAATTTCAAATTAAAAAAGTTTAGCTAAAGTAAAGAACATAATTAACTTCTAAAAATCAGGCAACAAACTTAGTGTTTTAAATCATTTCATGGAACTAATTTTTTTATTTTGCTTTCAAAGTCATTCTTGATGTACGAATTTAACTTCGTTTTTAAAAAAATACTATTCGAGCCAACCGCATTTTACGACGCGAATATCTAATTAAATTTGAGCTCCAATCAAAGTTGTGTTGCAATGTTTATGTAATAAACTATACGATGCGCTGTTAATAAAACTTACAAAGTTGAAAATATAACACCACAAAGACAATAAAATTACTCGCAGGTTGTAAAAAATGTAATACTATGTAATCCTAGCAAAGTCAAATAATAAGAAATTTATTAGTATCTTTGTACATAGATAAACAAAGTTCGTTTTATTCTAACCATATATAAGTTTCTCAACTTCAATGACGACATCATTTTGCCACTTGCACGTTGAAGAGCGTTTAGATATTTAATCAATTCAGCCAGTTTCAAGAAGCAATCTATTGCTTGTTCAAAAGCGTTTAGATATTAATCAATTCAAACAATTTTGATAATTTCTCCATTGTTTGTCGAAAAGAGTTTAGATATTAATCAATTCAAACAATTTTGATAACTTCTCCATTGTTTGTCGAAAAGAGTTTAGATATTAATCAATTCAAACAATTTTGATAACTTCTCCATTGTTTGTCGAAAAGAGTTTAGATATTAATCAATTCAACAAATTTGGAGAATATCTCCATTGCTTGCCCAGGAGCGTCTAGATATTAATCAACTCATCAAATTTGAAGAATAACTCCATTGCTTGTCCAGGAGCATTTAGATAATAATCAATTCATCAAATTTGAAGAATCAGTCATATAAAAAATAATGGCTTACCAAGATACTCATGCTCCGAAGAGAGAGGTTCAAAGAATGCAATTCGGCATTCTGAGTCCAGACGAAATTGTTAGTACTATTTTAATTTCTAAATCAAATTGCATACTTGTTCCAATTTATTGACGTTGTTTATTTATAATTGAAATAATTTTAATTAATATTTTTTTCAATTAATTTCAGCTGCAAATGTCCGTTACGGACAACGGTGGGATAAAGCATCCCGTAAGTACTGAAAACGGCTGTCCCAAGATAGGCGGATTGATGGATCCGCGTCAGGGCGTAGTCGACCGAACAGGCAGATGCTTGACGTGTGGGGGGAACATGGCGGAATGTCCGGGTCATTTCGGACATATTGTGCTCTCGAAACCAGTTTTCCATGCAGTATTCTTGCCGAAGATCATTAAAGTTATGAGATGTGTTTGCTTCTACTGTTCCAGATTGCTCGTTGATCCGGTAAGTTTTTGTTTCATAAAGTGTTTTTATATTATGTGAAGATTTTATTAATCAAAATTTAATTCAAAATTAATTCAAAATTAATTATTTTTTTATTGACTCTTCTTCCAGGAACTGCCAAAAATGAAGATGATATTAAGTAAAACTAAAAGTGACTTTAATCGTAGACAAAATTTGGTATACAACCTCTGCAAAGTTAAAACCACCTGTGAGTGTAGGAGTGGGGATGTCGAAACAGGAGAGAAAATGGAACAAGATGTGGTAAGCAACGTTAAAACAATTATTACTTTGTTGTTTGATATTTTATGAATAATTTTTTAAAAAATTTAACAGAAATGATGATAAATAAATGTTATAAATAAATTAAAAGCAGGTGGAAGGATGCGGTCGTCACCAGCCGAAAATCAGAAAGATTGGTTTGGAGTTGACGGCAGAATGGAATGTGCTTAATCACGAGAGCCAAGAAAAAAAGGTTTTTATTCATTTATTTTTCTAATAATTTTATATCACATCGAAATGCAACTTTTCACCACTTTTTTATTTTCACTACATTTTTACTTTCAAATGCAACTTTCTACAACTGGTTTTCAACTAAACAGATTGTGCTGACGGCCGAACGCGTTCTTGAGATCTTCCGGGAGATCACTGACGAGACGTGCTCGTATTTAGGAATGGACGCCAGGTACGCACGACCTGATTGGATGATTGCGACCATCTTACCAGTGCCTCCACTGCCTGTTAGACCGTCTGTCCTCAATTTCGGAGCAGCTAGGAGTCAGGTTAGCTATTTGCAAAAAACTTTAGAATCCATAATTTTCACAGGAAAATAATTTCAAAATTAAAACTCTGTAAACCTTTTGTAATTTAATTTTGGATAAATTTACTTTAAATATAGGATGACATAACATACAAACTGGCCGACATTATAAAGATCAACAACAAATTGAAGCGCAACGAAGAGCAAGGAGCTCCCCCCCACATTTTAGATGAAAACATTAAATTACTTCAGTATCATGTGGCTACCATGATTAACAACGAAATGCCTGGACAGCCTAAAGTTTGTTTAAATTTTTTTTAAGTGTAAAATTATTTAGAGCATTCATTATTTATCACCATCATAGAGTATTATGATATTATTAATATAGATTATTTTCAAACCCATAACAGGCCACTCAGAGATGTGGTCGTCCGTTGAAATCCATCACAGAGCGTTTGAAGGGCAAGGAAGGTCGTGTCCGTGGTAATCTCATGGGAAAGAGAGTTGATTTTTCGGCGAGGACAGTTATTACACCAGACCCCATGTTGAAGATTGATCAAGTACGTCATTGTTATTGCTACGAACAGAAAATGTTGACTAATTTTAATACAATATACGTAATTTTATAAATTTCATCTAAATTTAATTTAAAAATTAATTGTCTTCAACAGGTTGGCGTTCCTATGACAATTGCCAAAAACCTCACCTATCCAGAGCTGGTCACCCCCTTCAACATCGATAGGTTGACTCAACTGGTACATAGAGGGCCCAACAATTACCCTGGTGCTAGGTACATAATCAAGCAAAATAATGTTCGCATTGATCTAAGATATCATCGTAAATTATCTGATCTACATCTTCAAATTGGGGAAACGGTTGAGCGTCAAATGCTAGACGACGATTACGTGATCTTCAATCGTCAGCCCACATTGCACAAGATGTCCATGATGTGTCACAAGGTCAAAGTATTGCCTTATTCCACATTTAGACTAAACCTCAGGTTTGTGATGGCAATGTTGTTTGTTAATACAACAGTGATAAATAAATTTATTCATTTTTTGTTACATTAATTGACCATTTGTTTTATTATTATTTTTTCACCTTACAAAACAGTGCTACAACCCCTTACAATGCCGATTTCGATGGCGACGAAATGAACCTCCACCTTGCTCAGTCCCTCGAAACAAGGGCAGAGATCAGTCAGCTGTCATCAGTTAAAAGGATGATCATAACTCCACAAGCCAACAGACCCGTTATGGGCATTGTTCAAGATTCCCTGACCGCTGTTAATAAAATGACTAGAAGAGATTCGTTTATTGACAAGGTTTGTTTAGTATTTGACTGAATGGTTTAGCGATTTGTTATTTTTGATTCAGTGATTGACTGGGTGATTTTTTAATACATTTTTTTTCATTTAACAAAATAAATTTTCAATCAAAACAAAATAGAAAAACATGATGGACCTTATCATGTACATACCACATTGGAATGGGAAAATACCTCAACCGGCGATTTTAAAACCCGAACCTCTCTGGACCGGCAAGCAACTTTTCTCCCTCATAATTCCCGGCCAGATAAACTGCATACGTACTCACAGCACGCATCCCGACGATGAAGACAGGGGACCGTACAAATGGATCTCACCCGGAGATACGAAGGTAATTGTTGAGAACGGACAGCTACTTAGTGGAATTCTGTGCAAGAAATCACTTGGACCTAGTTCTGGATCACTCCAGCATATTATCTACCACGAATTGGTAAGTTAACAAATGATGTGTTATGTGGTTGTATGTCGTGAAACTATATTGTGAATGTAATATTTAAGTTGAAATTGTTACTTGACCTCTTCTATTTCAAAAAAAATTATATAGGGACGCGAAGCAACAGGAGATTTTTACTCGCACGTACAAATGGTTACCAATCAGTGGCTTCTTACTGAGGGACACAGCATTGGTGTAGCAGACATTATTGCAGATTATAAGACATATATGGATATCCAATTAGCTGTCATGGAAGCCAAAGTAAGTGAAAAATATTTCATCTACTGGTATTCATTCATTGAATATATTTCTGTCTAATTCAGTTTTATTTGCTATCTTCATCAAAATAAATTTTAATAACGAATTTTTAATACTATTCAAACCCGTATACACAAAAATATATAAACAAACAAAGTAAAACTTATAATACTTCATCAACAGGCCAATGTAGCTGATATTACCTATAAAGCTCAAAAGGGTGAGCTGGAACTAACTCCTGGTAACACTTTTATACAAACCTTTGAAAATCAGGTTGGTACAATTTAAGTTAAATTGAAGATGCTATGCTGTCATTTTGTTAATAGTTAACGTTTTTAAAATTTTTCTAATACATACAAACATTCTGATTTCAGGTTAATCGTATCTTGAATGATGCAAGAGACCAAACAGGCAGATTGGCTCAGGATTCTTTATCGGACTTTAACAACTTTAAAACAATGGTAGTTGCTGGATCAAAGGGGAATAGAATCAATATTTCACAAGTAAGTTTAACGACCAATCAAACATTTATTTGTTTGATATGTTTAAATATCTGATTGTCTGGTTTCTACTATTCTCTTTCCACGTGTTTCAGATCATAGCCTGTGTAGGGCAACAAAATGTAGAGGGCAAACGTATCCAATTTAGTTTCCGTGATCGGACTCTTCCTCACTTCCTGAAAAACGATCATGGACCTGAAAGTCAAGGTTTCGTTGAAAATTCTTACCTGGCCGGAATTACGCCTACTGAATTTTACTTCCACGCGATGGGCGGTAGAGAAGGATTGATCGATACCGCTGTCAAAACTGCTGAAACTGGTAAGTGTGTTTGGTTTTCAGAAAACATTTTAATTCTTTCACGTCGTTCAATTGGCTTTCGTTATTGCTAGCGTTCCTAACGTTCTCTGAATTATTTCAGGTTACATTCAGCGCCGTCTCATCAAGGCCATGGAGAGCGTGATGGTCAAATACGACGGTACAGTGAGAAACCAAGCTGAGGAGCTCATCCAGTTGCGCTACGGAGAGGATGGTTTAGCGGGCGAGTGGGTGGAGTTCCAGAATCTGCCATCTCTCAAACCGTCTGACAAAGCATTTGAGAGAGAATTTAAATTTGACCTATTCAACGAAAAGTGAGTACATTGTATTTATTAACATAATTAATTATTTATATTTTCATCTCAAATAATCTATATATTGAAACGATTAACTGAATGAATAAACGTATTTAAATAACATCACCACAGGAAACTGAAGCGCTGTTTATATGAAGATGTCTTGAGAGATATGCATCGTGATGCAAACTTTTCATTCGAGATCGAACGGGAGTACGAACAACTGCTCGATGACCGCATGGCAGTCAGGCAGATATTTCCAAACGGAGAGAGTAGGGTTGTCCTTCCGTGCAATCTTCAACGGATGATTTGGAACGCACAAAAATTTTTCAAAATAAACCATAAGAGGCCATCAGATCTTAATCCTTTAAAAATTATAAAAGGTTAGTCGCAAAATGACAATTTTAATGGCATTAGAGCGTGTATGAATTAAAGTTTCGAAATTAAATTTCTATAAATTTCAATTTTTTGTTCAAACTTAATCTAATTATTCAAACTTGTAATCATCGCGACCACAGATGTGCGCGAACTCAGCAAGAAATTCATGATCGTGAAGGGAGAGGATAGGCTGAGTAAGGCCGCCAATACAAATGCTACTCTGCTCATGAATATATTAATGAGATCTACGCTATGCTCTAAGAAGGTTAGTTTGTCGATCGAATACGTTTTATTTAATGTTATTTATATTTATGCTGTCATTTGTTCACACGATAACAAAAATATTAACCAAAACTATCGAAACTAACTTCAAACAGGTCATTGAAGAATTTCATCTCTCCTCTGAAGCGTTTGATTGGCTCATCGGTGAAATCGAGACGAAGTTTACCCAAGCTCAAGTTGAACCGGGCGAGATGGTGGGTGCACTTGCCGCCCAGTCCCTCGGCGAACCTGCCACTCAGATGACTCTCAACACTTTCCACTACGCGGGAGTGTCCTCGAAAAATGTAACTCTGGGTGTTCCTAGATTGAAAGAGATTTTAAGCATCTCAAAAAAGCCCAAAACTCCTACGTTGACTGTTTTCCTGACTGAACAAGTAGCTAAGGATGCTGAGAAGGCTAAGGTGAAAAGAGTTATTTCATTTAGGAAGAAAAAAATAATAAAAGTTTTTTATATATTTTTTAAATTTGTTCTAATCACAAACTTAATTCCATTCAACAGGATGTTCTCTGTCTGATAGAGCATGCTACATTAGGCAAAGTTGCATCCAGCTCTGCAATTATTTACGATAGTGACATTAGGCACTCCGTAGTCAAGGAAGATCAGGATTGGGTTTGTACTTCAACTAACTTCATTTAAACATATTTATTTTAAAAATTTGATTTTATTAAATTTGTAACTCCAAAATAATTTTGACTAAAATTCATCATCTATTCTTGTTTTAGATCAACACGTACTACGACCTACCTGATATTGACTTAAATCGCTTGTTGCCATGGCTGCTGAGAATTGAGTTGGATAGGAAGAGAATGACTGATAGAAGACTAACAATGGAGCAGATAGCGGAGAAGATCACAGCAGGTTGGTTGATTGGCTCATGTATTTGTTGCATGGCTGCTCAGGCTTGTTAAATTATATTGACTGAATGATGAATAAATATATTGAAAGTATAATAAATACTAAATTATTCCATTCTCAACCAGGATTTGGCGATGATTTGAATGTCATCTTCACTGACGACAACGCAGAAAAATTAACTCTTAGAATCAGATTGAACAAACAAGCTGACAAGGAAAATGTAAGTTTTGTTATGTTTGTTGTAGTTTTATATGCTCTGTTTAAATTTTTTGCATGTTTTAAATAATTTGTTTTCTTAATGAATATTTTAATTTTATTTGCCAACAGCAAGAGACAGTTGAAGATGAATTTGACAAAATAACAGACGACAAATTCCTCAAACTCATTGAGACCAACCTGTTGAAAGATCTAACCCTGCAAGGCATCAGCAACATCTCAAAGGTTGGTTTGGTGTTTAATGGAATGTTTGTGCGTAATGCGATTGAGATGGGATACTGTCTTTATATTTTAGATGCAAATATGATCATTATTATATTTTGTTTATTTGTTGGTTAACATTTCTGCTTGCATTAATTTTCCAGGCGTACTTGGTTCATCCGACGTCAGATGAAAAGAAACGCATCATCATTGACGAAAAAGGTTACTATCACATCACAATTTTTACAGTTAATTTACAAAAAGTCAACGTCATCATATTCATCACCAATAACATCATCATTAGCACCTTGATTATCATTAATGGCAGAGATTAAATTCAAATAACTAATTTCTAAATTCCAGGCGAGTTCAAAACCATACAAGAATGGATACTTGAAACTGACGGCACCAACCTGCGTTCTGTGTTGACAGTTGAGAATGTCGACCATGTTAGAACCATCTCAAATGACATCGTTGAGATTTTTGACGTAAGTGTATACTGCATGTCATTGCAATTAATTTGTTTACATAAATGATTCACTATTGCATAATTAACATTTTTAGCCGAATGTTTATTCATAATATCTTTTAATGAAACTTCAGGTCCTGGGAATCGAGGCAGTACGTAAAGCGATTGAACGCGAGATGAACAACGTCATCTCATTTGACGGCTCCTACGTCAACCACAGACACCTCGCTCTGCTCTGCGACGTCATGACGGCCAAAGGTAACCAATCACTCACTAAACTTTTTATTTTTAATCTGTTCTTCATTTATTCTTCAAGTGTTAATCAATAGCTTTAAATTATGTTATTCAATTTTTAATTTGTCATATAACTTCGATTGATGACTAACCGAAAAATGTTAACCCCCTCATAGGCCATCTGATGGCAATAACTCGTCACGGTCTCAACAGGCAAGAGACCGGTGCACTGGCTCGATGCTCTTTTGAAGAAATGGTTTGTTGATTGATTGATTGATTGATTGGCTGGTTGATTGAATGATTGATCGATTGACTGAATGATTGATTCACTGATTAATTGCTCAATTGAATATCAATCTGTAGGATTAATAAATATTGGTTATTTCTTAAATTCTTAGGTGAACATTTTAGTTGATGCAGCAGCCCACACAGAAACTGACCCGTTGAAAGGAGTGTCAGAAGCCATAATGCTCGGACAACTGGCCAAGATTGGTTAGTATTGGAACTGTGAACAGTTTGTGCTAATTAATTATCATTCTTATAAAGTCATAATCATATTATTAGTATGATTAGTTTAGCATGATAAAGATAGTGTACTTTACGTTGGTTAGGCTAGAGATTTCAGAAGATACTTAAGTAATTAATCAATTGGCTTGTTTTTATATGTAATCTGAATTAAATATCATTATGTGTTTCAGGTACTGGTTGTTTCGACTTGATGTTGGATGATAAACAGTGCGTCAACGGAATGGATATTCCAAGCGAAATTCCATCAGGACACCTAGCAGGTACGTTCTTTCATAATTCTCGTAATTATTTCTCAAAATTACTTATTTTATTGAAAATCTTTTTTTCAAAATTTAGAAATATGTATTTATCATTATCAATAATCATTATATATTTTAACTATATATATATAGAGAGAAAAAATTTTAAATAATTTTTTCACTAATCAACTAAAAATCCAAATTTTTACTGATATTTCAGGCGGAGACATATACGGTCTGACCTCGATGCCTCCCGGGGGCGCGACCCTCATGAGCACAACACAAAAGACCCCATGGGAACAACAAAACTTTGAAACTCCAAACTACAACTGTTTCTCACCAGATGCAAGCCTGTCACCGGAATTTTCTGGAGGGTTTTCACCCGTAGATAACGCAGGATTCAGTCCCAGTTTTTCTCCAGCTGCTATGTCTCCTGGATCTCAAACACTAGCCAGTCCCTCTTTTCCAAGTCCAGCTGGAGCATTTTCACCATCCTACATGTCGACTTCACCATCATATTTTCCACCGTCCCCATCATATCCACCTACATCACCATCATATTCACCAACATCTCCTTCATATTCTCCAACATCACCATCATATGTACCAACATCACCAAGTTACTCGCCGACTTCTCCAGCTTACTCACCAACATCACCATCATATGCACCAACGTCACCATCATATGTACCAACATCACCATCATATACACCAACATCACCAAGCTATTTGCCGGCATTACAACCATCCTCACCAAGCTACAACCCATCCAGTCCTGCTTACAGTCCATCCTCGCCTTACCTGTCTTCCTCATTATCTTCTGGTGCTTCCCCAAGATATTCCCCAACTTCCCCGGCTTACTCACCAACTTCCCCGGCTTACTCACCAACGTCTCCAGCATATGTACCATCATCACCAACCTACTGGCCGACATCACCAGAAAGGTCGTCGTCATCACCGGTCTACAACCCATGCAGCTCTGGTTATGCTCCATCATCGCCAAGGTACCCACCGGCCTCGCCTTGATACTCGTCGTCTTCTATGTCACATCATTAAATATAGATGTTGACAGATGTTTGAACTATTCCAAAGATGATTACCATTTATATACTTTTTCAATATTATTTTCATTTTGCTAGTTCGATATCATGTAATGTATGTTATTACTATTTTATTATATTCGCGTGAGTATGCATTTTTTCATGACAAATGTTAATTTGATTTACAGTTTTATTTTGCTACGTATGTTTCTTAGTTTTTTTTATTTTTTTAGTTTTATTATTTGACTGATTACGATATATTAATATAATTTGGTAGTTTATTCAACTGAACTCGCACCAGTGTTTTAGTCCTTAATTGTTATCTTGATTAACTAACTAACCAAAAAGATTTCTATATAACATAAATAATCATAATCGTCGTCGATATAATATAACTCACCGACCCGCTTCTAGAAAAAATGAACTCTTCACATATAACATACAAAAAATGTTTATATAATTCTAAGTGAACATAATAGACGAAAATCTTAAAACGATTAAACAAAGTGGTCGACTTTGCTGTTTCCTCAACTGACAAGTGTGTTAATACGTCCTTCCAATTTATGCCGTTGTTGAATACTTTCAAATTTGAATTTCTTTTAACTGTTCGACTGCGGATATTCGAAGCATTATTTTCTTTTTTTTACGTTCAACATAAGCTTTCTTGCTATTTTTTTTCACATTTTTGCACAACACCGGTCTGTCAACCGACATCTCCAGAAAGCCAGAAAGAGGAGAAAATTTGGAGCCGAGTGTGGCGAGGCGATTAACAAACAAGAAATTCAAATGTGCGTGTATGTGTGTGCATGTGTGTATTTTTGTGTGTGTGTGTGCGTCCGTGTGCCTCTGCGGGTAATTGTTCTACGCTCCACAAACAAATCATCAGCTAATCATCACATATCAAATGAAATATATCAGTTCCAGTTCCAAGACGACAACAACATGGTTTGCGATGAATTGGCAAGATGATTGTAAAGCTTCAGATAACTTGCTCTAATGTTTCAATCTGACTTATCGCACTGCACATCTAGATCATGGAACAGCGATGACAGTTTGTCAAGCACGCTAAAAAACCTACTTCATCACCAGACACAATGCAAGGAAGGTTGTTCAATTGCGAAAATAGTACCCTCTGTGCAATACCTACTCTTGGGTTGCTCCAGTATCTGCAAAGGCCACCCTTCAATGTCAACCTTCTCACCTGAAAAATTGCTCCAAGAAATGAATGAAAGATATTTTTAAAGTTAATGGAATTGAGAAAAAAATTATTATCAAAATTTAGAGTCAGTCGACCGAGACTTATGCACTTTTAGATAATTTATGAAAAAAAAGAAGAAAGGAAAAAGAAACTGCTAATGATTAAATATTGTGAATACGTTTACTGAAAAAAATGACTTCATTAATAATTAATTATCAAGTTGATAAATATGAAGTCACCTAGGTTGATTTTTATCATGTAATATTATGTGAAAAAAATTTTTTGGTGTTTTAAAATGCAGGTCGATGGTTTGGTAAATAACATTTTAATTTTAATCGATGCATCAAATGATCAAGTTCAAAGTAACTTCAAAGACTGCAAAAAAACATTCTTTGCTCTTTCGTTCGCGCATAACAATTTTTCAAACAAAGAAACGACATCAAAGGTCGAGACACGTGAAACTTTCAACTAAGGAAGCCAAGTGACAAACAATGCTCAACAAATCTATATAAAGGCTTTCAAGAGTCGTGGAATATAAGGTGTCTATTACAATTATCATTTCAAATATTCATTAACTTTATTGTTGGCAAGAAATAATTTTTCTATGAATAACATTGACAATTTATTAAAGCGTATTTTATTCAGAAAACAAATTTTATCAATTGTTCATGATAAATTTTTTGAAATTTTTTCAATTTAAACCAAATTTGCAGTTTTTTTTAAATCTTAAACCCCAATCGAGTAAAATGTTTCAATTAGAGAGCAATGAAAGCAACAAGAAAAGTATTAAAACACCTGTAGAGCATCAAAACAGCTACAAAAATATGATGAAACAAGATTTTCTTTTTCTAGTGGAAGAAAATGAAGAAATTCATTTCAAAATTGGCTCTGACGCCGAATGTTGCATATGCTGCGATGGGCTGGGTAACACACCTGAAAGCGTCTACTTGAGAGATTGCAGACATGTTTTCCACCTACACTGCTTGAAGAGACTCTATTTAACAAATAACCAACTCAAATTTCCTTTCTGTTGGACGGTGTACGAGATGAAGTTTGGAGGGTGCCCAGAAGGGATTTTAAATTTAGAAACAAATTAAGAGTTTGTAAAAGTGGAATTCATTTTGCAAGATCATAGTTGTGCTGTAAAGTTGAAAGTGAATGACGATGATAGAAGAACTGTAGTTGAGCTGCTGAGGAAAGCATGGAGGAGGCAATTGTTAACGAGCCAAAGATTGACCTTCTTTGAATTGAATGCCTTTGCAAAAGAAATTGTAAAATCTACTTTAAATAGTTTGAATGTAGTTGAAAATAAATTATTAGAAAGAATTTGAGATGAAAATGATGAACTACCAAATGAAAATATTGAAGAAGCAGATGATGATTTCTTCAACGATTTTCATAACGATGATGACGATGATTACCCTTACAGCCATCAGGATGACGAAAAGGTTGAACGGACAAGTCTAAATGACGAAGATGAAGATGGCGAGATTATCATTAACATTTTGAGTGACGAAGATAACGATGTAGATGAATACGATGGTGATGGTGAAGTTAATGATGATCTACGTTACCTCGGCAACACATTTCAAAATTTTGATGAAAATGTTGACGATGATGAAGATGAAGAGGAAAAAAAAAGGAGAAGAAGATGATGGTGAAGATGACTACTACGATGATGAGAAAGAAGATGATGATGACGAGACAGAAGAACTACCACATGAAAACATCGAGGATACAGTAAACGATTTATTTTACTTTTTCAACATATCTGAAGATGCTGACGAAGATGAATCTTCAGTAGAAGCTAATGATGAAAATGTAGAAGCTGATGAAGATGATGATAAAATTGTTGCTGAAGTTGGAAGAGAAGAAAAAGAAGATGAAAATATGGTAGAAGTTTATGTTGAAGATGAATCCTTAATAGAAGCTGATGATGAAAATGTAGAAGTTGATGAAGATGATGATGAAATTGCTGCTGAAGTTGAAGGAGAAGATGAAGAAGATGAAAATGTGGTAGAGGTTTATGATGAAGATGAACATGTAGATGAAGTTTATGAAGATGATGATTACGATTTTGCGGAAGGTGATGGCTGCGATAAACTACTAAGAGCTTATGTACAAGTACATGTCAAATATTCAGAAAACTGTGTATACTATATTGTTTTCAATGGTGCAAATGATGATGGTAGTGATAAAGATGATGATGATGGGGATGGCGATGATGATGATGACGATGACGACGACGATGATGATGACGATGGTGATGATACGAATAAACTAACACGTGAAAATGTTGAAGATGCTGGAAATGACATTCTCATTATTAATCTGGATGATGAAGATTATGATGATAATAAAGATGGTAATAAGGATGATGATAAAGATGAAGATGATGATGAAGATGATGGTGATGATGAGGATGAGGATCATGATGATGCAAATGACCTAGCAAACGAAAATGATATTATCGTTATTATTAATTTGGATGATGAAAATTATGATGATAATGAAGATGGTAATAATATTAATGATGAAGATGAAGAAGATGATGATAAAGATAAAGATGATGATGAAGATGATGGTGATGATTTTCATACTTAACCAGATGTATATATTTGCTTCGCCATAAGATTTAAATTTGATAAATAGAAAATAATACGGAAATTATTTTATATTTTTGACAAGAAACTCGTTTTTAAAAAAAGTTGTAAAGAAAAAAAGTTCTAGTTCTGTCCATATTAAGAAATGTGTTTGTGTCAACATTATAAGGTTTACCTGAAAGGATTATTTAATGTTTTTAAATTTTCTTCAACTTTTCCGTGTTTATAAAGATGATGTAGTTTTTCAAATTTTGAAATGCTGACCAAAAAATTTGTTGCCTGCCAAACATCTTTTTTTACTTACAGGAAAATTATTTTACGTGAGGAAAAATATTGAAGAGATGAAAATGCCTGTGATTACGATTCAAGATGTTGAGAACAAACTGAAAAATCTGAAAATAATGAAAAGTCAGAACCAGATGGAACACACCTTCGTATCCGCAAAGAGTGTAAAACATAATTGTCAGCACGCAAGTGCAGCATGTTCAACTTGTCACTGAACTCCAAACAGGATCCAGCAGACTGAAAAATAAGCACAGTCATCCCGATCTATAAAAAAGGCTCAAAACCTGATGTAAGATACTACAGACCAATCTTTTTACTATTGAAATGCCTTGCAAGGTATTGGAATCAATTGACAAAAATTACTTGCTGCATCATGTTCAAAGTAACAATCTTTTCTATAAAAAGCAGTTTGAATCCCTTCCAGGCAGATCTACTGGTACACAACTTCTATACTTCCTAAATAATGTTACAAAAGCAATGGATCCAAACAAAAAAGTAGATGTTCTATACAAGGGTATTAAAAAAGTCTTCCACACCATATCTCACAACCAACTGATATCAAAAATTGTCAAGTTACGGGGTTAACACAAGCATTATTGGATGGGTCGGAAGTTTTTGACCAATCGAACATTCCGGGTAAAAAGTGGAGATGAGTTATCACAACCAACTAAGATCACTAGCGGAGTGCTTCAGTGAGCAATAATAACAACAACAACAGCAACAACAACAACCAACACAGCACAACGCATAGAATTTCTAACAACAGGAAAAACTCGCCAATTTCTATTCCTCTAGCTAAACAAAATGCGGCAGCTATTTTTATTTTTAAAAATATAAAATTTTGTGGAAAAAGTTATAGTGGGTTAATTTCAAAATTTAACAAATTTATAACATATTCGCTCTTGAATATTTAAGCTAATTTTTCAGAAAATTTCAATAAATTGCCATTTTTGGTTTGCTGTGCCACAGAATTTTTAAAATCCAGCAAGCAGTAATTAAAACAATTTTAGCATTAATAACAATATTTATTATTAAACACCCAATATAACGTTAATTAATAAAAATAAAGACCAAACATTTTTACATTTCTATGATAAAAATATTAGTAGAAAATTAACTAGTTAATTGCATTTTGTTAAACCAGACTACAAGAAACTCTAAACCCAAAGTTAAATTAAAACGTTATTTTTGTATATCATTAGAAAATTTTCGCTAACACTACACATATTTGTAAAAACATTATCGCATTGGATACAAATAAAGAAAAATATTAGCATGGAGCTTGAAAGTTTCGTCTGATGAATATCACCCACGCTTTGAAAGTTTCACAAGAACTTATATAATCTATAATAGGCTGTACCTATTATAGATGGAACAAGTCAATAAGTCAATAAAAAAATGATATTTCTAAACCAAGCTCATTATGGTAGAATTGATTATAAAATTTATGTAAATAACCAAAAAATTAAGCAACTCATTGGAGCGTGTTGTGGCCAGAATTGTAATGGAATTTTATTTTCGAGTTTATAATCTTTATTGAAAACAAATTAATGTAGAAAAATTATTTGTCATTAGTTAAAAATTAATAATAAATTTATATCTATGTGGAAATGTCTGAATCCTATTGTGTTTAACAGTTTAAAGAAATTTTCGCATTTTCAGCTAGGATATAACACGCTATAATATATAGCATTTTTTTCTAATCGTCAAAAGTTCATTTTAAATCTTTCAATGATTTTAAAAAATTTTTTAGTTTTCCCCATTTCAAAACTAAATTAAATTCAAATCTTATGAAATTTTTATAAATTAAAAAAAATTGATTTAAACTTGAAAATTTGTGACGTTTTAATTGGGATGTTTGTATTTGGCGGCCCAATATGCAAATAAACCCGTCAGCGTTGCCATTCCAGCTACGGAAATCGCAATGAATACGAACAGAACATTCCTCTCCTGGGAAACTAAAAAATGAATTGTTAGTTCTTCCTTAAAAAATAATTTTGGTTTCATAATGTGATTTTTAAAAGTTTGTAGTTTCGCCCAATCAAATCAAAACAACATATGTAACATTTTATCAAAATAAAAACATGTCACGTATGCAATTTATTGTAATGTATAGCGGATTAGTTATATAATTTAATATAACGTTATGAGTAAAACTTTATCGAGCCATGTATGCAATAGTTTATGATAGATTGTATCATACATGAATGTACGTTGAACGCATTAGGAAATTTTTGCCATTGTTATGAAATACAATCCACACTATACCTTCACATATCCACTGATTTTTATTCGTGTAGCCACTGTTACATGAGCAAATATACGACCCAGCGTTGTTCACACACGTTGAAATGGCTCTATCGCAGACAGAAGGATTTTCCAGACACTCATTCTTATCTTAAAAATAGAATAAATTTAAGAAAATACTATCAAAAAATGGGCAAATTTATATTTTACGTTACGTTCTAGATGGCGAAGCGATGGTCTAAAGGTTAAAGTGCCTGGTAATGATGATGATTCTCTTTTAAGCTTTATCCGTTACAAAATACTTTTAAAAAGAACATAATGTTTGAAGAAAACTTATCACTTTCAACAGGTTACTTATACAAGATAGAATTTTTGTACTAACAGCTGTACATCATTTTGAAAATTAATTACTAAATTATTATTTCATTATAAAATTAAATTAATGAAAATTTGAACCTTCACAAGTCTACGGGTTTTTATTATAAAAACCACTAAAGCAGTTGCAGTCGTAGCTTCCAACTTTGTTCTCACACGTCGAAGTTTGGTTGTCGCAAGCATTTTCATAACTTGTACACTCATTTATGTCTAGATTACAATTTTATAGAAACGAAAATTACAATTGAAATGTCTTTTTTTAAAATTGTACCTGAACAATCATTGTTCACTTGCATGTAACCAGATGGACATACACAAAAGTACGAGCCGTAGGTGTGGCGAGTGGCTTGCTGCAGTTGTTGTTGCCGTCAAAACATTCATCTGCGTCTGAATTTTTTATGAATCGTTCACTACGTGTGGGCGAAATTGTTTTTTCCACTCTAAACATTAGTTTAATAAAAAGAAGAAGATTTATAAATTTTCCAAATTGAAACGTAAATAAAAAGTTAACGTAAATAAAAAGTTACGTAAAGATCGTAACCACTGCAAATCAAGTTGTTTTGGTTTGTGAAGCCCTTCAAACATGTGCAGTTGTAAGATCCGGGAATATTTTTACAAACTGAATTTACACTGTCACAAAGATTTGAACTGTTGACGCACTCGTTTATATCTACAGGTTGGTTTGGTATTAGTAATCAAAAAAATGTTTAAAAAAAATTAGAATATTTTGTGCACCTTGGCAAACTCCCTTTATACGTTCATAACCAGACGAGCATTGACAATAATAAGAACCTACAGTGTTAACGCACGTTTCGGAAAGGCTGGTACAGTTGTTCGAGTTTTCGATACACTCGTTAATGTCTGAGTAGTTTTAGAATTGTTAAATGGCAAACATTTTTATTTGAAATTTATTGAATTTTCACCAACCTATGCTGCGGTTTTATCATTGACTTGATTTTTATAGCCTGCCACACAAGAACATTCATAGGACATTGGTGTGCTGGTGCAGTTCGAAACTGTTGAGCCGCACACTGATGGAAGGCGTGCATCAGGAACTGAAGATTTAAACAGTGGATGGATCGCAGTTAGCGATATCATAAAGAAATTCAGAGTTACTCACTCAGCGTACAATCATCATTGTACGATGATAACTTTTCATATCCAACTCTACAAAGGCATTCCGTCAGAGTTTTAGTTCCAATTTGAAATGAGGAGCAAGTGTGGATTTCACAGTTGCCATTGTTGGACTGACAATCTTTCAATATTTCAAATTAATTTATCGCTAATAGCATAAGCCCAACATTAAAATTAGATTATTAAACAAATAAGATTACGAAGTACAAACTCATTTGAACATATAACATTTTAATAACCCCTTTCGTTGCAAGCATCACCTTTCCATCCTACCAAACATTTCTTGGATTGACAGTTCAAATTTGCATCCAAATTGAATCCGTTTGAGCAATGGTAGAAGTCTGAACAACTTTTTTTACCGCCGTACAAGTTACAAACTGCCGAGTAGTTTATTTTTAAATTTCACCGAATTCATCAACAATAAATATCATAAAATTTCTCACGTAGCCGCACGCTGTTGGATTCCCACTGCACGCCTCATCACACTCATCATTCGAAGTCATCCCATATTTTCCGTATGAATTTGAACAATAACAGTATGAAGCATTCTGCAAATTTAAATAAAGTTTTTTTTGTGTCAGTGTAATTAAAATTAATGTTACAGACATAAATTATGTTAAGTAGGCAACCTGTAGGCCGGCGAACGTGTAATTGTTTTGTACGTAGAGTTTTAAACACATCTCGACAGTCGTTGATGCGGCATCAAATTTTATTAGGATTTCCAAATCTCTGGCATCAGCTTCATCTTTGTAGCAGCCAAGATAGCCAGGATTGTTTCGTGCTAGATGTATATTTGTTTCATATTTGCCTCATGTGCAAAAACATTTCATTCAATTAAATAATTAACCAGACTAGTTTCTCTTTTAGACAAGTTTAAATAATTTTAAATTTTCAACATTACCAATAAATTTAACCAACTGGTGTACACGGCAAGATAATCGGTGGTGCTACAAAAATCACTTGCAACATCGCAGTAGAAACATTTCGAGGATTGGACGAGCTTCGATGGAGCTCCACAGTAGCACAACTGCTCGCTCTAATAAAAATCATTATTAATTAAAGATGAAACAGTTTTTGGACAAATTTGTTTTACTTTGATTGTGGCATAAGGAATGTTTAATTCCTTACATAAGGTCAAACATATATCCAAGGACGATTCTTGAAATGATTTTTGAACTTGAAAACTTTTGAAGCAACCCAAATATTTGTCTACACTCCTCTCTAGTTCATCATTTTGTTTAAAAAATTATTTGATTAATTTATTTTTATTCAGAATATTGAGACAGCATGCTTAGATATTTTAAAACCAAAATTGTATTCACCTGATCCATAGACAGCAAGATCGGCAAACGTCATACCGCCTGCATCAGAAGCAGTGGAAACATTTTGCTGAATGATGACGTGCTTTGAGAAAATATTTTTATCTCGGCAATCCACTCTCATTGGCGTTTCAGCAGGTAAAACCGTGGTCGGCCCATAACCACAAACGTCGTAACTATTTCGTATTGCGTTTGTACTCAGATTAAAATTGTTGGCCACTCCGACTATAAACTGGTTCATTTTATCAGCTTGAAATGTGTGGCAGTAGGTTTGAAAGTTGGGCATTATTTTCTTGAAAACATAAGAAATTGAAATCACATTTAAAAAACAAATTGAAATCACATTTAAAAGGTATGGAACATTTAAGGAAATGACAATTAAAATGTTTGAACAAGTAGAAATTAAATGAAATCGATAATGTTTGAAGACTCACAACAGCAGTCCAGTCGTGAGTACATGACAACATATTGAACCCTGTACTCTCTGGCTAGATCAACAACAAACCAGTTTGGATAGGGAGAAACTTCATCATTCAAGACACAAAATGTTTTTATGTCCTCATCGACACAATTAGCTGGAACGTACGTTCCGTTTGGCGTGCTCATATGTGCGGGCCTGTGTAGGGCCACGTTCTCATACTGAAGAAACTTATCTTAAAAAATGTATCGTTTCATGTTTAATATGTTGGTTAAAAGTTAATATAATCACAAACATTGACTAAATGATAGGATCAAATGATTGAAAAAGATCAGTTGATGAACATTCAAGTCGGCTTAGTGAATCATGTTAAAATTTGTATTCTATGACGCTAACATGATATGACTTGAATCTTTTTACGTTTATTAATAACAACTATTTGGGATTTGTTTTTCAATAGATTCTTAGCAGTAAAGCATAGCCTTGTTTCATAATACGTTCAAAATTTTTTATTTATAACATAACGTATAATTTGAAATTGTGTTCGATTCAGAATTTTTCTAGTCATAAACCTGATATTCTATAAGTAGAGAACGTTTTAAGATCAGATTCTACTAGTGCCTGTAGAAAGACATACAAAAACTAGAGATACACACTTATCGGCAATAAAATTTCAAATTTTTAAGGGGGGGAGCCAAGATTTGTGGTAGTGCAACTGACAAAACTTTCTTTATTTATCACGTTCAATTTTTAGTCGATTTTACACATAAAACGGTTCTTCTATTGACTTTTATTGAAAAACTGCTCACAACGTGGGGGTAGTGCTTTACCTGCCCCCCACCCTTAGATCTGCCACTGTTTGTAATGAGTCATCATATTTTATTTCATATAAAGTGCATAAATGAAAAATGTTTACCGTCAGCATGAACTTTTAATTCCGCAAAGGCAAGGTTTTTATCATTTGTCATCAGCTCGACTATCAATGATTGCTGAATGGTTACAAATCTTGAGAATATTTTGTCGTTATTACAATTGACCATCATCACTTGGTTAACCAGCGTCACTTCTGCCGGCCACTGACCACACAGCTCATAATTTCCTCGTATAGACGAATTTACATTCGGATCAAAATAATTTGTCAGACCTACTACAAAATAATTCATCCTAGTGTCTGAAATATTTCAAATTTAGAAGCTTATAAAAAATCCGGGAAACTAATGCTAAGTATTTTAAAATAAGTAACCGACATTTGTTGTATTATTTTATTTTATACTTCAACTGAATGCAACTAATACTTTCTATATTCATAATTTTGTTTTCACGTTTCATACCTCGCCTACTGTTACTTTTTCTGAATTTGACAAATTTTGATTCACAGAAGAAAAAAAAACTCACAGCAACTGAAGTCACATCCAGCCCTGCCATACAAAACGATGCTATCGACCTTGTAGGCATTCACAAGATCAACGACAAACCAATTTGAATATGGAAATCTTCCGTCAGCATGGGCAATGTTGTCCATTTGTCCATCCACACCATATTCAGCAATGCACGGACAAATGTAATCAACACTTTCCTCTATGTAAGTTGAGCTGAGATAAGCTGGTTTCTTTAAAAAAAACTGGCTAATGTTTTTTTTTAACAATTGTTAAATGTTCAATTTTTAATCAGAAATTATTCAAATAATTATTAAGAATGATAAAAATATTTTAAGTAGTTTGAATGCTCTCAATGTGCTAACAATGTTTTATTAAACAAAAAGCAATAATTCAAGCAACAATCAAGAACAGCATAATATATTTTATTTTTAATGAAAAATTTATATGGAAAAATTTTAGCTTTAAAAATCATCAAAATTTATAAATTTTCAACAAATATATTGGAAAGAGCCTGGAAACCCATGTATATATGAAATAAAATAAACTATATATGTATATATACATATCAATATGATGGTAAAAGACCATAATTAATGCAGTAATTTATGAAGTCTACCGAATTTCTAGCCTTGGATAGTTTATTATTACAAACAACAACAACAACACACGTTTAGATGAAATTTTCCCCGAGATCGGGGGTTGCCGTTTGGCTACCTATGATGAAACCGAAATACCCCTCGACGCCATTCACATCTGTCACTCGCCTCAGTATCACGCAACCCCGCTTTCACTCTGTCCCTCTCCACTTGCTCTCTCCATCCCAATCGCGGACGACCCCTTCCTATCACTCCTTCAACCTTGAACTCCAACGCTCGCCTAATCCCGACCCTTTCATCCCATAGTTTATTATTACATTTCTCAATATTTATTAACGTTAGAATAGTATTCAGTTTTCCAATTCATTTTTGAGTGTATAGGACCAATTTCGATTTTTCAATCATTTTCAGCACTTGTGGCAGTTTATATAGAGAATTTGTATAAACCAGTACTTGCTGCAGTTTATATAGGAAATTCGTATAACCTAGGCCTTTGTTCCTGTGATTTGCATTGACTGTTATTAAGGCTCGATTGGAGATTTTGGGATTGAAGCGGTTAGGGTTAAAAGCAGTTATTTTGACACTCTACCGCAAAAAATTGCAATAGAATACTGTGGTGGACAATGTTAGTTTGTTTCACACCAAACACTAACTCAATAGGTTTTTAAATTATTTATAAGTACTGTCATACGGACGTTTTGAAAATTTTAAGAGCGAATTGATCAAATACTTCAACTTTTTTAAAATTTTAACATAAAACTTCTTTACGATTTATGAAAATCATGACACAGTTTAATTTAATTTGTATCTTCAAATGAGATTGCATGGTTATTCAGCTTTACACATACTACATGGTTACATGCTACCTAGATACAAATAGATATAAATCACATAGGTATATACTACTTAGATACACACAGGTTAGATACATACTACTAAGATACAGAAGCTACCACATCATAGACACTCTATTTATGAGGTGAGTAACTATATATGTATATAACTATATATAAGTAACTATATACTTAGATACATGTATCTAAGTAACATGTATCTAATTTGTATGTATACTACATACAAACATAGTTACAACTACATAGATGCATACGGCACAAAAACATGCATACATAGATACATATTACATACATACACTACACACATAGATACATAGCTTCAGTCACTTCATCAATAAGTTAATGATGGCTGTTTACGAACGTACATAGAAATAAACAACAGAATACTAGATCGTAATCAGTTATTTGTTAAAAAAGGTGAAAGCCCAATTTTTCGTGATGATAATAATATTAATAAACTCTAGTTAAATTTTCGTTTGATTAAATTATAAAATTTTTCAAGTGAAAAATCAAATGTAGGCATGTTAAAAAATATTTTTTGGTGTGTATATTTTTGGAGTTATGAAGTTATAACATTTCCATATTATTTCTAAAAAAGGAAAAATTAGGAACAGGAATTTTGATCTTAAAAATTTCCAATAATCACCAGACCTCTGCTCGTATGATTACACATTCCTTCCAGGGAACAACACCTGTGTTAGACTGTTCATAGAAGTGAAACTTGTCAGTTGGAATGTGGCGAACTATCACTATCACACCTTACAAGATTCAACTTACCATCTGGTCACTGTGAAATCAGAAAGGAAAGAATATTGCTTATTTTTTTAATGATTTGTGTCCAAGAGTAATGATAGGTATCAATTTTTTTTCAATTTGACACTGTCAGACGTTTCTTTAAAACTTGAAAATTGTTTAGATTATATATAAAATGGAACGTTTCGTTTAAAAATGATCAAGGAGATAAAAACTGTGATTCCACCATGGATTGAAACAAGAATTTGGACCGGTGGCAATCGACAGGGTGATGGATTAACTTACTGGCATTATGATTGAGTTTGAATATTTTCTTTTTTAAATTTTCCAAAAACTACAATTCAAATTTGGAAAACTTAGAACCAATTCCTTAATCCACCATTCATGTATGACATGACTAGAGCTAAAAACGTAATATGGTGGAGTTCGGTCCTGACGTTCTCTGGAATCAAGGTGAACCCAGCTACGTATACGGCAACATTCTCGAGAATTGTACAGAAATTATAAACGCAGGTTTAAATTTAAAATAAAATAAAAAGATGTCCATTTTAGAATCTGTCTCCTTTTTATATATGTGTTTATTTAATTAAGTAAATACACAAATAAATAATTAGTTAAAAATTTCTTTTAAACACAGGACGATTGAATGATGTGCCATGTTCGAAGCTTAATGCCATCATGTGCGAAACAGACGCCGATGTTCAATAAAGGATAAAAAATGGATTGTAACTTCATTCGATTAAGTCAAACATCCGTTCAAAAAAAATTTCAAAACAAAAATTTTAATAATAATAATAATAATAATAATAATAACGATAAATTTGTTTTGTAACATGGTTTTAAAGTTAACAATAAATTAAAATTTTATCACAATATTTTTTCGAATTTTCGTCGGTTTGAAAACTTATAAATTGTTTATCAAAATTTTTGCAAATTTTTAAAAAGGATTTTTAAAAATTTGCAAAATTCATTTGTTGATTTAAATAAATTTTGTTTATGATTTAGATAAGTTAGTCGTCACCTAAAAATGTTATGCTAACTTCCGCGTCTGTCAGAGTTTGAACTTAAAAAAATACTTATTCTCCGGAAAACTAAATAAAGAGTTGAACTGGCAAACAAAACAATATCATTTTTATACTCATAAAACAATCTTTTGAAATTTGCTTTCATCTAAAGCGTTATTTCAATGCTGATGTTTAAGAAACGTGCCTTGGATACTTACTAATCGAATCAGTATAATTTCAGTATCAACATACTGTCAAAATTAATAAAAATGATAATCATAACAAAGAAACAAACTCAAAATTAAAATAACACCCACAAAATTATACAGGAACAAATGCACTGCGACAAGCAAAAAATTTGAAAGAACGTCGAAGAATTAATGAATGACACGTTCTGGTACGTTTTGCTGAATTTAACTTGAAACAGAAGAATTGGCTTTTAATTACATGGGAAGATTAGTTCATATCTAATATCAGATCACGCACGGTGGCACGGTACGTCAACAGCATGGAAATCTCGGACACACACACACACACGTTCGCACGCACACTGTTTTTTTTTAACAAAAACACAGAAACATAAAAATAGATATTAAAATTGTTTTTATAGTTATATGTGTGTGCATGTGCGCGCGTGTGTGTACGTGTGTGTGTTTGTTAAAAGTTTAATAAAAAGTTAAGTACACTTTAAATGACAGATTGTTTGCCTTCTCTGCTCTGAAACACACACTCCTCACATACACACACACACACACGCCAAACACACACAAACACACACGTTACTACTCATATACATTTATACATTTGCACTTCATATATATATATGTATATGTATATATACAAATTTTCAACTTATTTTAGAAATCAGCGATAGTTGAATTTCGTAGAGTCGAAATGGCAGCTGTCATTGTAGCGTGCAGTTTATTTCTCTGCTTTATCAGCCACACAAAAGCTCAAACGAATTATTTAGCTCTTGGAAGAATGGCCAACCAGAGCTCTTTCGAAAAATCTTTCAATGGGTTTTTAACCATTGATGGTAACTACAACGCTCCGTTCTGTTTCGTGTCTCTTACTTCTGCATATCAGTGGCTGAAATTGGACCTCATATGGTTGCACAGAGTTGATCTTGTTCTAGTTTTTGGAAAACTACCAGCAAGTAATACTATCCAAAAATTATTTTTATTATTTTTCATATATAATAAATTAAATATTATTTACACTAATAAACTAAAGTTTTTTTTTATAATCATGAAAAACATTTAATAATATTTAAATAATAATTAAAAGTTAAACTCCAAAATTCAGATGTTTTCGACGTTAAGCTGTCGAAGAGAGCTTGGGAGTTGCAAAATATCTCCTGCAACAACCTGACCAGTCAACTGAACAAGACCAACGTTACATTTCAGTGTCCGAATGGTACAGGCAGGTACATCAGCGTTGAACAGGGTGAATCATCCACTGTTAAAATGAACATTTGTGAGGTAGTCCTTGAAGGTCAATACGCTGATGGTCAGTTCTTCAAGTTTTCAATAAAAACAAATTTTGCGAAAAAAAAAACTTTCATTCTTTTAGCAGTTCCAAAGCGAAGAAATCTCTTACTGAATGGGAACGCCAACATGAGCTCAGTATACCAGATCATCAACGATCTCACTAGCGCTTCCATCCTGGCTTCAGCAGCTTTTTTAGTGGATGGCAGCATGGACAGCAATGTATACCACGGCCACTGTGCACATACGAATGAAGCTGGATTCCTGCAAAATTGGATGCAAGTGGACATGGGAAGTGATCATTTCGTCGACTACGTTGCACTGGCAAGCAGAAGTACTACCGACAACAACGGTTAACCATTCTGTAAATTTGATTTTAAAAATGACAAACATTGAATTAGGATAAAAGTTTTTGAAATATCGTTTAATTTATGAACAAATTATTACATTTTCAGTTGTTCTCCGTTTGTCAAACTTCACCATTGGACTCACGTCACAGAGCGCAATTGACGTACCACCAATCAGAGGGAAGTACCCTCTGTGTGCAAGGTACCCTGGAGATGTCCCTGTGGCTTCCAGAGTCACCCTCCAATGCAATGCCAACCTGCCTGCCTATCGCTACATCATTGCTCAACAGGCTGTCAATGCTGGTGAGGGATATTTTGCCGCCTGTGAGCTGGAAGCTTACGAACCTCAGACGATGTTTCCAAATAAACGTAAGATTTTTTTCCAAAATATTATATAATATAAAATATTATATATTATATATAATATGATATATATATAATTGAGTTGTGTTATCTTAAACCTTATTCGGCAGGCTACTGACGAGTCTCGTGAGAGACGAACGTACGTCTGGCCTATGGCGGGTAATGGTTTACCAAAAATATTTATATATATATATATATATATATATATAGACTGGAAGGAAACCATAATTGATGCAATATTTGATAAAATCTACCGAAGTTTTAGCAATTGAAAGTTTACGAATGAGTTTTTCAATATTTCTAACAGTAATTTTGTAATTATTATCCAATTTATTAAAACTAATTGAAAAAATTGTTTTCAGGCGAGCTCTAATGGCTCGTTCTTTTTTGTGCATAGTAAGGCAACGAGATAGGGATGTAGTTGTCACTATTATCATTATTATCATTGTGGCTGACGAGTGCATCCGTCAAGAGGGCATTCAAACTTTAATATTAGCTGATTTATTTCCAGAGTTGAATTTTGGGGAAGCGAGCAATTGTTTTTTATCATCAGGTTTGCCACTTTTGCATTTTGATAATAAATTCTCAGATTCACTCCATCGTCTGTATTTTTAGGCTTCACGTTTTCTTTAGAACAGTTTGAGCGACATTTAAAATAGACTTTCTTAAATGAAAATGACATTTAGTTTCTGTAGTAGAAAATTATATTCTTGCCTTGTTTGCTGTTGTTATTATTGAATTGTTGTAGTTTACGGTTGATGGTATCTTATATGGTAGCTGTTTTGTAGTTGTTGTTGACTTGAATTTCGGTGGTTCTAATTAGTTCTGCCTCGTGGTCGCTTATTGAAATAGAGTGAATGAATGCTCTTTTTACAAATGCTTTTATTGTGCTGCGTTTGTATTTTTCCGTGCGCTCACTTATTCCATTTAGACATATTCCTTTGTCGGTTTCCTCCACATAGAGCGTTGTTTTGAAGAAGCTTTCATCTCGAGTGATTAGTGTATCCAAAAATGGTAAGGTCTTTGTTGTTGTAATATTTTGTAGTAAATTCTATTTTAGATTTATTAATAGTTGACAGAAGATTTGCAGTTTGGTCAGGGCTGTCGTACGTGACAAAGATATATCATCGACGTATCTTGCCTGAATTCGGGGTTGGTTTTAGTTTAGGATTTTTAAGGAAGGTTTGTTTTTCTAAATTATCAACCTGTAAATTTGCGAAGAGTACTCCGAGTGGGGAGCCCATGGTGATTCCATTTATTTGTTTGTACATTTTTCCCATGGGGCTATAGAACGGCGCTTCGGTTGTACATATTGTCAAAAATGATTTTAGCAAGGGTTTTGGAAAAGGCCTCATGTGGGGGTTGTATACCGTGTTAAGGATGATATCAATTACTAATATGACTAGATTTTTGGTGATTCTAATTAATCTTGCCTCGCGGTCGCTTACTGAAGTAGAGTGTGTGACTGGACAGAGAAATAATAAACGGACGGACAAAGCAGAATAAAAGCATTTTGCACACACAAGGAATTGCAAAACTTTGAAATATCTCTATATAAGCGCTGATGATGAGTAGAATCGTTTCATCATAAACACCAAAACGGCAAACTAGATAAAAAAGAATAATTGCACGCCTCACCAAAATTCAACCCTGAAAAGAAATCACCCAGTGTATTAGTTTAAATGCCCTCTTGACTAATAATTTCATCAACCACACTCATATATTAGAGTGACGATTACATCCCTATCACATTGCCTTACTGTGCACAAAAGAGGAGCCATTATAACTCATCTGAAAACTCAACTGGTGTTGTTCTCAACATAGGGAATGGTAATATGCGAGTTGACATGGCAAATAAAAGTGAATCTCAATAAAAAAATTTTATTTTGATTAAACGCAAACCACGAAGTAGTCGAGCAAATAATATTACGAAAGTAAATAAAACTATCATTGGATCTCGGCTTTAAATGAGCCGAAAATTTCAGCAAGTAAAATTTTGCCCCGAAAGAGAATATTTCACGTCAGTAACGTGAAGAAATGTGTTTCGTCTGATGTGATCGATCAACTCAAGTCAATTAATTCCCGTGGATGTAATTTCATGCTACCCAACGTTCAAAAAAGGTAAAAAAGACGATAAATCTGATGATTTGCAGCCGTCAACCTCCTTTCGACTGTGCTTCGATGCTAAATCCATCGATGTGATTACCAACGAAAATTCCTGGCCGGAGTATGTACGGGTCCGGGACTGGTCTTTTAGCGTCAGCAGTGATGGTGTTAAGAATTGCTAATTAAATGGACATTATCAAGGTTTAAAAAATGTAATAAACGAATAATTGAACATTGTAAATTTTATTTGAAAAACATTTTTTCTATGTTTATTCTTCAAACTTATATTCTATACGATATTAATTTAATTTAAGGCATCATGCTTTTTTTAGTGTCCTTTCACGAAAAATGTTTCTTAAATTTTTTCATAAAAAAAAACTAGTTTAAAAAACAAACCATACATCAAACGATCCCATCATTACCGACCAGAAAAATATTATTTAAAGAAGACAAAGAGAATGAACAGAACAAAGATATAATAAACGGACAATACAAAGATATAATAAACGTACAAGGCTAAGAAGAATAAAAGCACATACAGAGAAATGTTAAAATTTTGAAATATTCCTATATAAGTGCTGATGATGAGTTAAATCGAAACAGAACCTATAAGCTTCATCATGAACACTTTCGATTTTTTTATTAATTTTAGTAAAAACTGTAAAATTACTGTTAGAAAACTTGCTAAAAATTCCTAATATACACTTTAAAAATAGGTATAGTTAGAACAAATTTAACCGGCGGATATTAAACCCTGCTAACAATTAAAAATTGTTCAAATATGTAGAAGTAATGTGGAAATCAGCCAAGGAACAGCAACTGCAGAACCACACGTTCATGTCTCTGTCAGCTGACAGACCAGCACAATGCCTCGTCCAGTGCTTCCATCTGGGAGACTACCCATGTGATTCATTCAACTTCAACTTTCAACTGCAAACATGCCAACTCAACAGACACAGGAATGGATACCAACAGAAAATGATCATCGTCAACAAAAACTGGACATTTTGGAAAGCTACATATGTCTACAATGGAAATCTTTGAGTTGTTCTTCATATGTCGATCGATCTATACAGTAGTCTTGCATGTCATATGTGACATGTTTCACTGTATAAATCTAACAAACTTAAGTTTTAGCTTTAGATATGTAGCTTTTGAACTAATAAATCTATGTTAAATTATTAGAATGTTCCCAATCAAATGAATATTTTGACCTGATCAAGCAATCTTTGCTTCATTTAAAAATTACGATTTAAAAAAATTAATATTTTCACATTTTTGTGTTACAAATAATGATTTAACTTTTTAAAAATTTGTTCCTTTTACGTAGGTTACTTTAAAAATATCTATGATTAGTTAATTTGCGATAGCTTTTGGTACAATTAAAGGATGAACCTTTCAACGGTTTAACCATTCGTTTAGCCATTTCATTTGGTAAATTACTTTGGAGTTAACAAAATAAATATATAATAATAGATAAATAATGAAAGTTTTATGGAATATTTAATTAAGGTTGAGAAAGTAAATTGTTACTGTGCTGAATATAAGCTATGTGTTCATTTAGGGAGAAGTAAATACGTTTATTGGATAGGTTTATTTATTTCGTACACTGAACTGATCTATTGGATACATTGGATAATTATTGTCATTAAAAATGTCTGCCAATATCCAAGTCATCATTTTCGACATAATGTGAAGTACTTTCTAGTAGGCAATACTGTTTTAAATGTCTACAATAAACATATCTAAAACTTTTGCTTCACATCAGTTTTATTCAAAAATTTTTTTGATTCTGCAATTATTCGTTAAATATTTTTTATTATACAAATACAGTAGAGGTTTCTAGCGAAATTCCTGCTACATAGCAGCATCTAAACCAAGCAAGCTTCATTAAAAAATCCGAAATCAAAAATTTTGTTCTCATTGTTTATGCGTCAGTGTATATTGATTGGATTTTATTATAATTTTATTATAAAATCCATAACGGAAAAGTCACATCCTTAATTTATTATTACTGTAATTATACCTTTTAAGAATGTAGATAAATAAGACAAGTTGTTTCATTCAAATTGGATGTATTTATTATTCAAAAAATTAAGAAAAAATGAGTTTCAGTTTTTAAAAATAATATTACCCTCATCATTATCATCATCCTCATCAGCATTATTATCAAATGAATGAATAAATGAATGAATGAATGGAATGAATGAATGTACGAATGAAGAATGAATGAATGAATGAATGAATGAATGAATGAATGAATGAATGAATGAATGAATGAATGAATGAATGAATGAATGAATGAATGAATGAATGAATGAATGAATGAATGTATGAATGAATGAATGAATGTACGAATGAATTATTAAACAAATGAATAAAACAATCAATTAAATAATCAATAAATCATTCAATCAATCATTCAATCGATCAATCAATCATTCAATTAATCAATCAATCAATCAATGGATAAACAAATGAATGCATGAAAGAAGGAATTATTGAAGTAACAAGATGGAATGAAAAAAGTTAAAAGGAATAAAACCTTCCAATTATGATGGTCTAAGTTAATGATGATTTGGGCCTAAAGCAATTAAAAAATAGCCAATAAATAAAAAATCAATTAGCCAATCAATCAATTAACCAATTAATTAACAATCAATCAATCAACTAATCAATTCAATTAATAAGAGAATGTAAAACGTGTTGCGATTCAAAATAGAATGACTGTTGGACTTAAGTCCGACGCCAACCAAACTATGTATCAACCAGCCAACCAGCCAATCAACCAACCATTCAACCTTTAAAAAAGTTAAAAAATTAGTAGATGGGAAATGATTTTAGCCAAAAAAGCGCTATTGCAAACCACTATTCTATCCATCTATCATTCAACCATCCAACCAGTAAACCAATCAATTAACCAACTAACCAGTAAACCAACCAACACCAGCCAACTAATCAACCAGTAAACCAACCAACACCAATTAACCAGTAAACCAATCAACAAATCAATTAACAAATCAATCAATCAATCTATCAATCGATTGATCAATCAATCTATCCATCTATCTATCTATTAATCAATCAAACAAACAATAGGCTAATCAACAATCGATTAACCAATCAATTAACCAACCAACAGACAACAAACCATTCAATCTGCCAACAATACAATTAAGTGATAAAATTGTAAATAAATGAATTGAAAAAATTTGATAGGTCGCAAGAAACAACAGCAGCAGCCGAACAATTAATCATTTATTATTGGACATTGATGTTCAAATATTCAGCCACGAAGGCCGTGAAGATCTGTTGGTGGAAAAAAAATATCATTTGAAATAATGGCATAACTAATATAAACAACCAACCAACCAAACAACCAATCAAACAAACAAACAGACAAACAAACAGACAATTGAAAGAATATAAAAACATAAAAAAAAGACAAACGGTAAAACTGACCGAAAGTAATTCTTGCAAACATGCAAATGAAACAACAGACACATATCCAGATATACAACTAGACCCATATCCAGACATAAAACTAAATATACAACCAGGCACACCTCCAAACATAGTAATTAGTCACTCATCCAAACATACAGCCAGATACATATCCAAATATAAAACCGGACAAACACTCAGACATACAACTAGACACACATTCAGACATACAACCAGACACAAATCCAAACATACACCTAGACACAAATCCCGACAAACAACTAAACACACATCCAGACAAACAACCAGACAGACATCCAAACATACAACTAAACAAATATCTTGACGAACAACTAAATAAACATCCAGACAAACAACTAGACATACAACCCGACACACATTCAGACATACAGACAGACACACATCCAGACATACAACCAAACACTCATTCAGACATACAGACACACAGACAGACATACAGACAGAAACAAATCCAGACATACAGACAAACCTTGAGTAGATCCTGGACAGTGGGATAATGTATATGTTTTTCGTCGTCCGCTAATGTATGCCAGACAGACGGAAATGGGTAACTGATCAGGTGCAAGATACGCACGTCTGTTTGTGTTTTTGTGTTGTTGATGTTGTTATTATAATAATAAATATTATTAATATAAAACAACTAAAACAAGATAGTCGTTTTTACGTAACTTACTGTTTTTTTAGCAATTTAAAGTTTTATTGACGTTGTATATATTTAATTAGTCTACAAAGCGCTATTTCCGCAATGTACAACAGCGCTCCTCAATGAATTTTGCAAACAGATGGGTCTTGAGATTCGCTCTGAACTTCGTAAGTGATGGAGAAGTAGTCAGAGAAGGAGGTAGAAAGTTCCAGAAAAAAGGACCACAAAAAGCAAATTCAGATTTAGCAAAAGGGTGTTTAACACAAATTAAGAAGAAGTGAGAACAAGAAGACGATCGTAAACCGTTTAGGTCCAATTAATATATCTGATAAGTACTTAGGAAAGTAGAATAATAAATATAGAGTATATATAGAATAAGGCCAAGAATGGAACCCTGTGATACCCCAAAAGTAAGAGTAGAGGAGTTAGAAGTAGAATTATTAGGAACAACAGAAGAAAAACGGTTACAGAGATAAGAAGAAAACCAAGATAGACAAGAATCAGTAATATTAAAAGAATGGTCTAGCAGCCTCAAGAGAATAGTATGACCAACAGTATCAAAAACGGAGGAAAAAGCAAGAGCAAGAAAAAAAATAAGATTACTATTGTCACTAGAGAGAAGGATATCATTGTGTATTTTGTTTAAATAAAAATAAATAAAGAGATATTAATATTATTAGTTATAATAAATATCGATACACTAGTAAACCGGAATAACGAACTAGTTGAAACAACAACAAAAAACAGCAAATGTCACGTCTGTCTTAGAAAAAGCAGAAGGAATCAAACAAAATAAACACATACATAAACACACACACGCACGCACACACACACACGCACGCACACACACACACGCGCACGCAAACAAACTTTTTTGCATGAATGGTAAATGATCGTCGCCAATGTCCGCAGAATAGTAATCATTTTCGAAGTAGGTTGACGGCGCCGTTGCTGACAACATGCTGAAACTTTTCAATTTCCTTTCTGGTGCATGTTTTTGTATGTGTGTATGTGTGTATGCGTCTATGTTTGTCCATGTTTGTGAGTGTTTCTATGTTTACTATGTCTGTGTGTGTTTGTTAGTGTATGTGTGTTTGCTGAGAACATTTTTACAGCAACTATGACAACAAAAAACATCGTGTTCGTGTTGCATTTGGGCATATGTGTTTGTATGCATGTTTGTTGTGTATAAATATATATTAATGTAGTTGTGTATATAAACGTGTATG